TAACACTATCATAAAGTTCCTCAACTCTTTCACATAAGGACTTTTGTATCTATTGATAATCTTTACCTAGATTCACTTTTGTTTTCCCATTATGGGTTGGAAACTGATGATTTTCTGATTATATGTTTCCCTCTACAATTATTAGGTAAAGTTCTTTGATAAAGATGAACCAGCTATTTTATTACCTTGAAACACAATCTTTAAAGGACTGCATAAATAGTTCAATATTTCATTTTATTTATTAATTTTCAAGGACATGAGCTTGCTGGTGCCATGGCAACCTCCAGTGGTGAACAGTGAGGTTTTAATTTTAAGAGTCAGTGTTATAATTCCTTTCTTCATGGCTTAATTTTCCCTTCTGGCCAGTTAGAGCCTGTTCAAGTTGACTTTTGTGTCTTATTGGCAAAATCCCATTAATCTTTGACAGATCACTTGCTGAAGGAAGGAATGTCCTAGGAATATCATCTTGTACTTTGCACACCTCAGACTTATAGTTAGCTACCTCTCTAAGGACTAAAAACTTTCTTTGGCCTCTTGATTCTAATCTTAGCATTTTTCTTTTTGTGTTTGTTTTGCTTTGTTTTTGGAGATGAAGTCTCACTCTGTCACCCACACTGGAGTGCAGTGATGCGATCTCAGTTGCAACCTGTAACTCCTGGGTTCAAGCAATTCTCATGCCTCAGCATCCCAAGTAGCTGGGACTACAGGTTCATGCCACCATGCCCAGATAATTTTTATATTTTTAGTAGAGATGGAGTTTTGTCTCGTTGACCAGGCTAGTGTTGAACTCCTGACCTCAAATGATCCACCCATCTAGGCCTCCCAAAGTGCTAGAATTACAGGTGTGATAATCTTAGTGTTTTTAACTTGACTTAGAAACCTTACTTTGTTTCCCTGTGTTTTTCACTTTGGTTTGTTGCCCAGACTCAGATATCCCATATTTCTGAGTTTCTGCCATGTTGCTTTATTTACTTCATGCATAGCATGATCCCTAAACCCGGAACCCAGCAGAAAATTGACATTGCTTTATTTGAGATATTTGGCAGCTCAGTTGGATTATCATGGCTTTGAATTTACTCCTCCTCTTTTTCCTGCTATGATGGAGCATCTTCTAGAGGGTCTGAGTCCTGGTCCTTGATACAACTTTAGCAGAGCTAAGGCAATGTGGATGGTGAAGTGAGCTTAAAGAGAAGTAAGAGGACGTGTCTCCTTATCTGCAAAAGTGAACTAAAACATTTCAGTTTTAAAGCTGAAAGTCACCTTAGATACCAGTTAATTCAACCTCTTCATTTGATAACTGGGAATATACCTTCAGGAAACTTGAACATTTTGCTAGAATTTATACTGTTGCAGAATATTCAGGAGACCAGAGAGACCAATGGATGAAACAGGAGGATTTTATTAAGGTGGCTACTGGCTCAGTGGATTAGGATCTGAAGGCTGAGTGCTTAACAAAGACAGGGCTTAACTTTTTATACATGAAGCACACAGTGGTGCAAAAACAAGTTTGCAGGTGTACAACAAAGACAATTTGTTAAGCAATGACAGGGATACAACTCAGGCTTCCATATGATTTTTGCTATGCAGCACAGATGCTTGCTATCTGCAGAGCTCAAGGATTCTAGCATGGGCCTTATCGGTTGCCTTTTGCTATAGCTCCTAGATGGCCAGAGTCTAACCTATTTAGGCCTTTCTCATGACATTTGCTGTGTTTCAGAAACTTATAGCTATCAGCTATGGAGAACAAGAATACAAGAATTTATAAACATAAAACTTGCAAAGCAGGATCTTTGCAAGGACGGGAGGGGGAAGGACTCAGGGAAGTTTGCTTATAGAAAAGAAGAAAAATTGAATTTCTTCTCCCCTTTCCCCATTAATAAAACTAGTTAGTGGCTGAGATGAACTAGCATCAGGCAAATTTAGAGACTCCTACCAAATATCATAGTTTTGAGACTTAAATCTAAGAATGCTTGATTTTTAAAAAAAGCCTATTCTTTTCCCACTATCTTGCTACCTATCCACTTAATAATAACAAAAAATTTTTGTTGCAATGTCATGATAATCATCAGTACGCGCATAATCACAAGCATTCTATAACATGTGCTAAATCCCTGAGAGTGAGATAAGAACTTTACACATTTATCTCATTTAAGCTGCACAACAACCCCATGTGCCAGGTTTTATTATTATCCCTATTTTACAGGTGAAGACTGTGAAAAGCAGAATTGAGGTAACTTGCTCCAGGCAACACTGTAAATGGCAGAGCTAGGTTGGAAGCCAAGTTGTTTCTGGGTCCAGATTCTATGCCATCCAACCACCAAGTATTCAACCTCTCCTTTGAACCGCTTTTTAGTTCACAAAGCTGTTTCACCCACATGAGTCTTTATGCCAGTATTGTAAGTCTACTAGCACTCCTGTTACTAATTTTAGATGTGAGGACATAAGCTCAAAGAGTATAAGCAATTTTTCAAGGGAAAATAGCTAGTGGCTTGCAGAAGTTAGATTCTTCTAAGGTCTGTCTAAAAATTTTCATGCACATGAGTCCTAATATGAGCTGAAGATCAGCAGATGAGTATGTTTTGTCTAATAATTGGAAAGCAAACCACTGGAAGATTCCTAGGGAGTATACTTAATGGAAGAATTTTGAGTTTTAATAGGCTCAGAAAGGAGAAAATTTTAATCAGGAGAATTTAGGCGATTCCTTATTGACACTATAAAGTCAACAACCTACCTGTGTACTGATCTTTGAGGATTTTGGTTTTTTAGCAAGTTTTTCTTTAAAAGAGATAGACATAAGACTAAGAAAGGATGAGAGTAATATGCAAGTTTCTTTACTGCGGTGGTAGGAAAAGCTTAAGATCAATCATTGCCCAGGATAAAAATAGAAATTTAACTTAGTATTTACTATGAAAAGAATAAATAATAGCGACGTTTACACACTTGGTGAGGAAATTATAAGTAAGTGGCAAATTATAAATAACAAGTAAAAATTAAAATTATAAAGAAGTGACAATGACCTTCATTTTTCTTGAAATGTTTGATTTCATTTTAATATTTTTGTTTAAATCATTTTAAGGTGACACAAAATATATCTAGTGACTGGTCTTTGTGGAAAATCTTTCTAATTTGTCTCTTATCCTGTGTAATAAGAACAGCAATTGGAGCACTCACTGTGTGCCTGGTCAGTAAAGACAGGGACAACACTGCCTCCATTATTATCCATGTACCCCTAGATGAAGGGGAATCTGGCATAATCATTCCTGGAACAACCTCATTGCCTCTCTCTTAACCTACAGTGACCACTACAACAGAACTAACTATAGCAATTGTACCTATGATGACCATAGCAGATCATTCTAAAATGTCAACCTAACTTATGACCATAAGGCCCACTACCACCATGTTACCTGAAGCTGCAGACAACAAAATTTCAACCGAACCTGCAAGGATAACCCCAGTAACCTTTGCTTTAACGGAAGCTGTTACCATAATGGAAACAATCATCAGCATTTCAACAAAATTTTCCACTTCACTGGATAGTACCACCACTCCAACAGAATCTATCACTTTAGTTGAGCATAATAGCACCACAACAGTTACGGCCATGTCAGCAGAAGTTATACCTAAGGTTACTCCTACAGACCTTACAACAATAACCACTACAGTGGAACATACAACTCCTGTACCTACAATCATCTTAACTTCTAAACCTGCCAGGATAGCCATGCCCATTTCAAGTGAATTTATACATATCACCTCTTCCATTGATTCTGGAACCCATTTAACTACAGTTACTTGAACTGAATGTATGTCCACAACAGAAACAGTCACTTCTATGAAATCTGAAAAAATTACAATTTCTACTGAATCTACCACCATTGCAATGATAACAACCCATTCAATTGAAATTACAACAAACACAGTTGATACTACCTTGTTAATTGAGCCTAAAAGCACTACAATTTCTATTGAACATACTGCACTTAGAGATATAATGACTACTTCAGCTGAAACTACAAACAGAACAACTTAAACTTCCACCTGGTGAACCCTCAATCATGGCACCAGCTGTCATTGAACTGAACCTAATTCACCTACTAGTTCCACTGAGCTTACAACCACGAAAGTCACTCCCACTTTAAACTGAATCTACAAATACCATTAAATGCACAGGCATGAAAGCAAGGACCAAAACTTTAATCACATTTATAACCTCTGAAAAAAAACTCAAACAAACACTCTGAAGTAAACTAATCATTTTGTTCAGAAGCTACTTTCAAAATAAACAACAGCTCTTAAGAATTTATAACACTACAAATAAATCTACAACCCCCATAGCTCCAACTACTTCAACTGAAGGCGCATCTGCAATAGGAACCAACACTTCAGCTGAACTATCCTATTGCCATGACAGCCACAACCACTACCACTTTATCTCAACTCTCTGTAGTCAATACTTGAAGTAAACAGATAATTGACACAATTTTTGACTGAACAACTCCATCAGCTACTGACACTTATTCAATCAAACTCATCTCTCACAATACAACACTTTAATATTATTCATTCATGCTGTGCCATATTTGCCACTAACTCTAGTTAATTGTAATGATAACTAGCCTCCATGAGACAAAGCCTACAACTACCATAGTTACCACGACTTCCAATGAACCAACTGCAATAGGTCACCATGACTATTTTAGCTGAGCCTGAAAGGAACACATGCTCCACATAACACTACCACAAAAGATACGATATCTATTTTAACTGAAGCTATGATTGCCATGGTATTCACTAAGTTTACAAAAATCACAAAACAAATGCATCAACTGAACTAACAGCTACCACAAGAAATGATGCAATAGATTTGTCTGAAGTGGTAGAGGTAATTTAATTGTGATCATTGAAGGATCAAATAGTATTATATTTTTCAACTGAGCCCAAACCACCACAACTATAACTGTTATGTTAGGTTAATCCAGTACCATAACTGTTCCCAGCACTACTAATGTTACTTCAACCGACCTTACAACAGTAACTACTTCAACGGAACATACAACTCCCGAACCCACAACCATCAACACAAACACACAAACACCTGCAACAATACAAAGACTTTCTTATGGCAAATAAACTTTTATTATTGCTGTTAATCTTCCTATTGTCTCACTCCCCACTATCTCTTCTATTCCTGAGCTTCTATCTATGCATAGATGATTCTTTGACCAACAGAAATATTTCATTGGAATTTTATTACCTTTTGAAGGACAAAAGGACAACCATTTGGTTTGTGGTCAATCTTCCATCGCTATAATGACATAAAACCCACATTATCTTCTGCAATTGTTAAGCCATTTCATTAGAACTGAAATTTTAATTTAAAATGCTTGTCAGTTCTCTTAAAGTTTCAGATTATGTAATTTGCCTAGAAAATAAGCATATCTAAAAAGCTTTATCTAAGAAAAGTATGATAAAACCTCACGGTAAAATGAATTTGATATCTGTTGGTGATATCGATGGATTTAAAAGGTGAACTTTCAATATAGGAGTATATTAAACATAAATAGAATATTTCCAATTCTTATATTTTTTCCTATGTATGCAACACAAAAAGATAGTTATTTTCTCTTAAGATTGTTTGTCTTTTGCATATTACATTGGCTGCTACTGCTAATTCTACTAACATTATTGTGTAATGAGCTTTTTCTATTTTTAAATGGAAGCATTAATTAAATATGAAGAAGCTGTTAAGAAAGAAAATGACAGTGCAGGATAAGTAATACGAGTACTAATATAGACTTTTATTGTTTAGAATTTCTGCCAACTGATGAGGTTAAAATGGATACATACAATGACCAGGCTTCTCTGGAAGCCTGTGGAGCCAATGAGGTGGCCTAGGAATATATTTTACAAATCAATAGACATTAAAGAGTTATTAAGAAAAATTAGTTATTGAGACATGCTGTATAAAATGGTGGCCTATGAAGAATGAACTCTTACCTAAAACATATGATTGCATTCTGGCAGGGGTTAAAGGGGAATATTTTTGGTTGGTAGGCTGTTAATTGCTGCCTCGATTTCAGACCTTGTTACTAGTCTATTCATGAATTCTACTTTCTTCCTGGTTTTGTCTTGGAAGAATGTAAGTGTACAGAAATTTATCAATTTCATCTAGATTTACTGGTTTACTTGCATAGAGGTGTTTTTAGGATTCTCTGATGATAGTTTGTATTTCTGTGGGATCAGTGGTGATATCCCCTTTATCATTTTTTATTATATCTATTTGATTCTTCTCTCTTTCCTTCTTTATTAGTCTTGCTAGTGGTCTATCTATTTTGTTCATCTTTTCAAAAAACAAGCACCTGGATTCATTAATTTTTTTAAGTTTTTTTTTTTTTATGTCTCTATCTCCTTCAGTTCTGCTCTGATCTTAGCTATTTCTTGTCTTTGGCTAGCTTTTGAATTTGTTTGATATTGCTCCTCTAGTTCTTTTCATTGTGATGTTAAAGTGTCAATTTCTATAAAGAAAAATAAAGAAGATTTTCCCTGAGGCAAAATAGAAGAGCTGGAAAGAAATACATGCCTAAATATCCTTTAACTATCACTTTTAAGTGGCCAAAAGTGCATTAAAAATCTCAAAGATTAGGTTTATATATTATTGTGCATACAAAAATTAACCAGGCTTGGTGGTGGTTACCTGTAATCTCAGCTACACAAGAGGCTGAGGCAGGAGAATTGGGAGGTGGAGGTTGCGGTGAGATCACACCATTGCACTCCAGCCTGGGCCTACAACAGCGAGACACCATAAAAAAAAAAAAAAAAAAAAAAAAAAAAAGAGAGAGAGAGAGAAAGAGAGAGAAGAAACTTGGTAAATGAATGAATCAATGGTTATTGATTTACTAAGATATGTTGCTCTCCCTTTAGAAAACAGAGTTGGATTGCTCTCCCTCTAGAAAACAGAGTTGGAGGCCAGGCGTGGTAGCTTACACCTATAATGCACAGAAAGGTTTAACAGTCATGGTCCAAACAGTAAACCAATGATTTATTTATTTAATTAATAAATATTAAATATAAAATATTTAAAGTAAATATTTAGCTATTTAATATTTAAATTCTATAATATATAGAATAGTTGGCATGTTTTAAAATTTGTATGAATTCTATTATACTGTATTTTTTCACAATGCAGGTGTGGGTTGCCCAGATTACAACTTAATTACATGGACACTTATAACTCTATTTTATTCATTTTCACTGTTTTATAGTATTTCATTCAATTATTAACCTATTGTCCTATCGATATAAGTTGAGTTGGGCTCCCTTTTATTAGCATAATAAACAATGAGGCTATGAATATTCCAGAATATGCCTTGAATATGCCTTCTTGGGCATATTGATTAAAATATTTTTTATAAATTATTAATATAGAACATGAAATATTTTAAGTAAAAATTTAGCTATTTATTTAATATTTAAATATCATATGTGGTCCTCCTTAGGTGTGAGGGTAGAATTCTTTTTTCTATTTCAACATCCAATGCCCAACAGGGAACATAAAGGGCAGTCAACAGTGTAAATAGATTGTATTAACACTGAAATTAATTCAGGGATATTTATAATTTTATTTTATTTTTTACTAACACTAGGGCTATAAAACTAGTTATTCTACATCTAATTTTCATTTATTTTCTTGCTCCAAAGACTATTGTATTGTTCATTTCTCAATTCATATTTTAAAGTTCATATCCTGACATTTCTTTCCTTTTTGCCTATGCAATCTAGTTAATACCGATTTCCATTCTAGCCTTTACATTACCTCCAGGCCACTCTTCCTACTTTCCCCCTCTTTCTGCCACTCCATGGTGGTCTTCACTTCTCTCTTCTACAAGTTCTCCTTCCTTTTCTCTATCTATCCATGTGCACTGAGGACCTTTAAGATTTGGATGTAAATTTGTCTCTTCCAAACTGTCACCAGCTTCATCCCTCAAAGATCACTTCCTTTGCCTACTAATATTTTGATCACTGTCCCAGTGATTAATTCTCACTTCTTCTCACTACCTTGCCTACCTGCCACTCTTCACCAGGTCCTCAGAGCTGAATTAATCACAGCTTTCTTCAGTCCTGCCTTAGTTCCCATCAGTGTTCCATATCCAAACCTGACTCAGGTAGTTCTATGAGCTGCTCCAGCTTCATGAGCTCTTGTCTTTTACCACCCCATCCTCCAACTACAGTGAGCTTAAGGAAAGTAGCCAAGTTTTAACTTTGAACTCTGAGACTGTTGGGTTTGTCCTGCTCACTGTACCCCAAGCCAGGCTACTGCAGCCCTGAACAGAGCTGTGATGTCCCACCCCTGAGCCCTTGTACCCCACTCTAATCCTAGGTTGAGTTGACCACAATCTCAGTTCCAGATCTGATAACCCAGTTATGGTTCTGGACCTTATGAGTCCCAGTTTCTCTATATGCGCCATCTTTTAGATCTCACATTTGCTGTGAGTTTCATTCTGATCTCTGACTCTAATAAGCAGTCTATTTGCTACAGTTTTTTCATGAAACTTGGGCCCTGCCTTAATCTTTTTGTGCGCATCCCAAAAAACTAGTCCGACGGTTGGGTAAACCTCAGCTCCAAAAGCTAGGGCTTTTATATTCTCAAAAATAAGGCCCACATAGCTGATTGCTGATCCTCATGCTCTGTGACTGTCCTAACATCTGTCTCATGCTTGAACAGAACTTGCAGAGTCAGCAAGGATGATGAGGCATGTCTCCACCCTGGGAGTTGCTAAATTCTGTGTTATTTAAAGCCTGAATTCCAGGAATCTCTGTTTTCTTGGGCTGGTCTCATTCCAGGTGGCAGCATCTCCCTGGCCATGCTTCCAGTGAATATCCACACCTCCCTGATGAATCTTGATATACGTCACCAGAATCTCTAAAGGTGCCAGAGCTGTATGGTCTTTACAATGAAGTCAAACTCTGAGTTGTGTTTTACCTTTTCTGCCCATCCTTCTTAGGGCTCAGTGTGATATACACTAGACACTAATAAATGACCATTGACAAGAAATGAATAGAGATCCTGAGAGCCACACACTCTAATTGTAACTTGAATTTGTAACACATCACTGAAAACATAAATGTCTCATCAGAAAAGTGGGAATAATACTACTTAATTGTTGTAGTTGTTACAAGGATTAGCTTTGAACAGTGTGGCACACCCATTGGAAGGGTCATAAATATTTCTACAATGCTAGTAATACTACGGTAATCAAACCTATGTCAGAGGTTGCCTAAGGGTAGCACCATTTCCTGCAATCCAGCAATGGTTAAAGCTATTCTTTTCTTCTTTTTTTCAAATTTTATTTTTTAAAGTAGTTTTAGATTCACATCAAAATTGAGGAAAAGGTACAGAGAGGAAAAATATGTTTTCATGTTCCTTCCCACATGTATAGCCTCCCCCATCATCAACATTTCCCATCAGAGTAGTATTTTTTTCACAATTGATTAACCTACATTTTCTTCTTTTCATTCACAGTTTTCAAATGCCGGTCATGAAAGTCAGTTTACTAATTGAAGTCTTTAATGAAATAGTTTTTCAGGATGATGAGAATAAGGAGGGACATAACTGTCTCTAAAAAATTGTAAAATTTGACACAAATGGGTGTGACCTGGAGTTCTAGCTACTTGGGATGCTGAGGTGGGAGGATTGCTTGAGCCCAGGAGTTCAAGTCCAGCCTGGGCAACACAGTGAGGTCCTGGGTATAAAAAAAAATGTAACATTTCTATAAACCCATCATCACTCATGTGAAAAGCCTTGAGTTAGATATGTTTCATGATTCAAATTTTTAAAAATTTTATAAAATATGGTACATATATTGCATATTACACAGTACATGTGTTAGTAGCCTGTGACACACATTAACATTTTTGTAATTGAATATATAAATAACCATGCTAATGCCAAATTTATCAAAGACCCAAAATATCCTTGTTTGTTTAGATTAATTTTTACTGCCAAATAAATTTATGCCAAACATAGAAATTAATTTTCAGTTTGCAAAGCCTTTGTATTTTTAGAATTGTGCATTAGGGATTGTAGATCCATATTCTGAAGAAAAAATAGTTTTATTTTAGGTATCTCCAGA